ACCTCACTTTGAGAGCCTAGTTGCTCCCTATATTTAGATAGCAAGTCACCTTCTGGCCAAAAATTGGCCAATTTGGGGAATTCTCTGCTAAGGTGACTGTTATCACACATTGTAGGTCTCTGATCCCCATTTCAACCCCAATATCAAGTTCCAATGGAAAAGATGAAGCCTTAGCCCTATTCTCAAGTCTGTAACTGTGATGCTACATAACTGGCCTCTGGGTGGCACAGTAACCTTGCAAGACAGGCCCACTTTTCACCTTTCCTCTTAACTCAGGAAAAGCATCTCACTTCCGCTGACAATACTCTGATCAAGAACTTACTGTGAGCAGTATATTAATCCCTCAGAGAAAAGCACAAAGTCTAAAGGTAAATGTAACATCTTTTATCTGATTTAATAAAACAAATGTATATTAAATTACTTCCCTTAACTAGTTACAATTGCTTTCACTTGACAATTGGTATTTAAATTCTGATATTCTACTGTCGTAATTTTTCATGTTTATTTGAACACTGTTAGAATAAAGTGGCCAATCATTGAAACAAAAATTGCCATAACACATTTAGTATCTGATGTTTTATACATGTAGTTGGTTAATCTAGTTCAACCAACTTTAAAAATGCAATACTGTTAAAATGTATTGCAGTTTCACCGCATGTTTTTTTTAAAAAAGGGCTGTTTATATATCTTTTCTCTGCCTTAAGCATGGTAGAATTTTTAAACTGTTGCCGTACAGTTGTTATGCCACCATCATCCCATTCCACCCCACTTCCCAGAGCCTAGACAGTGTTGTCAGCTCTTAAATCTTTGGTGTGGCGTAAAACAATCCTGTTTCTGTCAAGCCTCCAGATACTTACAGAATTTCCCTCTTTCCAATATAGGGCCTGCATTCACCTACAGCATCTTATCAATAAACTCAGTGAGGGACAACTACCAGTTTAGGAGTGTTCTTTTAAAATTTATTCACAAGATGTGAACATCACTGGCAGGCCAACAATTATAGGCCATATCTAACTGTCTTTGCAAATGTGGTGTCGAACTGAACCATTCTTGAACCATTGTGGCCTCCGCAAGGTAGGTTTTCTCACAGTGTTGTAAGGAATGGAGCTCTAGGAATTTGACCCAGTGACAAAGAAAGAACAGTGATATATTTCAAAGTTAGAATGGTCTGTGACTTGGGGGTGATCCTATTGCCACTGTGCCCAAAGTATTTATCTTTCTAGTTGTAGAGATTGTGGATTTAGGTGCTGCAGTCAAAGACAAAACTTGCACATTGTATAACCTGCATGCATTGGCAGTGGAGGAAACAAACTGTAAATTTTTGGATGGTGTTGAGCATCTTGAGTGTTGGTGGGGCTGCACACATCTAGGCAAAAAAGGGGAAAATTCCACCACACTTGTGACTTGAGTATTAAAGATGGAAAACTTTTGAAGAATCTGCTAGCAAATTATTTACTACAGAATTTTCACCATTTGATCTGGTCTTGCAGCTACATTTTTTTGTGTAACTAACCCAGTATCGTCCTCTATATGCTTCAACTCCTCAGCAGTTTACCCAACTGAATGACTGCAGAGATGGAGAAATAATTTGAAATCGAGACAGCCAATAAGGAAGAATAAGAGAACAGTCATGGATGTTCTCATATATAGTTGAATATATTTATCACAGATGCAGATTTGCTTAAAGAGATAGCAATTTTAGATTTTAGTTCTCCCAAAAATCAGCTAAATGCCAAGTGACCCTTATTCTGGTGAAACAGACTAGCAGACTCTGAAGAAAGTCTGAGCAGCAATAATATAATAAACTTACAAAATCAATTTTATTAGACAACTAAAATGCAAACCATTGGGATTTACAACAACCAGCTCTTTCAAATCCAATTTTGATTTCTACTTTTCAGAGATTACAATATATACTGTCCAATATCACTTACACTTGTGAAGACTTTCTTTACACTTTGCTTTATTTCTAATATCAGTAGAAAATAATATAAGCATAAATAAGATTCTACTATGACAGCATAAAACTTTAGATAGAATTGTAACGCCATCAGTCAGTAAATAAATGACAAACATGATGGAAACAGATCAACAAAGCATTGACTTCCGAATAAGGACAACTGTCAGGTTTAATCTGCTATTCTTCAGACTTACTGGTATCTATCAGCATCTAAATAAAGGGCTGTTTGCTCTATGTACACTTGGCAGGATATACAAAATATACACTGACAAATTAAAGCACTTCAATACTCAGTAATATTAATAAAATCATCGTTATAGCATTTGGCAAAATAAAACTAAGCATATTATGAATCAGAGAACACATGACAGAATACTTGTTTAAATCAGTAGAGCATCGTGACAAAAATTTTAACATCTTCATGGAGGTACTATACTTCATTCACTTGAACTATGAAGACATCTAACAGTTTAAGCGCTTATCAGACTTACATATGGTTAGCGAAAATACTTTGAACTGTAGAGTCATTGGATGTCAGTGATGGTGGTGATAATGGGAGCTATTTGAAATGATGGATGATGAACGTTATACAAGAAATACAGCATAATTTTCAGTGTTCTTAGTGACTTCCACAGCACAAGTATCAATTCACTAAATAAATCTGGTGTCAACATTGCATTTAGTTTGCATTTTAAATATTTCTAATTATATATGATCACATGACTTCTAAATGCTAATGAAACTATATTTAAACAAATCCAGCATTTTTAAGTGTACATCCTACTGATATTTTTATTATATTCCAATTACAAAAAACATATTTCTCCTGCAATTTCATTTTAACAAGATCTTCAAAATGTAAACACTCTCAATCTACTGTGAAACAATAACCTTATTAAAATTCCTGTTGCCTTCAGTCACATTACAACCTATCCACAAAAAACTAACTGAAGCCAATCTCTTACTTTTTAATATAATTCTTTTCTTTACATATGCAACAAACAAAAATGCATTATGAAAATTTCCAGCATATGATCTCTCTTTTGCTGCAAACTATGACTCACTCACACCTTCATTTGTGACTTAGCAGCCTACCTCAGCTCATTAAAAATGAATAGCACTGAGTTTCCATAACACATTATATACACACACACAAATGGATTGTCAAATAAGAACTCAAATAAACCAGTGATTGCGTGGCACATTGTATTGGAAAACTGTACAGAAACGAATTTAATCCAGACCGATGGGGAATTCTCCCTGCTCTGTCAAGTTATGTGACATACACATGCAACATATTTCCATTCGATTTTTGCATGCGGGCAATCAATTCAGACGAGACAAGAAAAAAAGTACACAAGAATATTTTTTAATTTAGTAATATCATTTGTCCACTGTCAGCTAATGGTTGTATTTTTACCTACCTGTTTCAATCTCAAGACTCCAAAGGTGCATCTAGGAATCTATTAAAATTAACAATTAAAACGTATTGCGTGAATGAAGTTAATTCCATTCAATGAGTTTATGAAAAAAAGCTGTTTTCTAACAACTTTATTGGAATTGTGTGAGGATGGAGCATAATGATTAGGAATAGTCAGTTGTGGAGTGACACTGTTATCGTACCAGTAATCCAGTCTCAAAACTAGTGGTCTGGAGTCACAGGTTCAAATTCCACCATGGCAACTAGTGGCATTTAAAGTAAATTAATTAAAACATTTGGAATTATAAACCAATTCTAGTAATAGTGACCAAAATTTTTTCATAGGTTGGGGGTAAAACTACTGGGGGTTTATTCATGACCTTTCGGGAAGAAAATCTGCTGTCCTTACCTGCTACATGTCAGACCAAAACTCTCAAGGTGGTTGACTCTTAAATGCCTTTGAAATGGCCACTAACTGTGGCAACAAATGCTGGCCTTCCCAGCAACCACTCAGAATCATAGAATTTTATAGGATAGGAGATCATTTGATCCATTGTGTCTGTACCAGCTCCTTGAAGAGCCAACCAGCTTGTCGCATTCGCTGCCCTATCTCTCTAGCCCTCAATTCAGCATGCCACGAAAATAATTTTTTTAAATGGTGGGACTTTTAAAAAGTTATTAAAAGCTAACTCATAAGAGACTCTTAAATGAAGAGGATATTTCCAAATACATGTGTCGAATCAAAGACAATGTAAGTAGATCGCTTGTAATAGTTATAATTGGACAAATATGATCTGATTCAGTTCTGAGGCACTTATATATATTCTTAGCCAGGTAACTGTATATGGAGCATCTAAATCCTCATTGTTTTGGAATACAATTTGGCACGCAATTAGTACACCATTCTTTATTCTCAAGAATCACAGTTTAAACTGAATCAAATAAAATTTTTTCAGCTGTGTGAAATGAGCCTCGACTCCATTCTTCAAGAGTGGAAACCATGTATAAATTGCTTATGATTCAGCATCAAACTGGTGTCACATAGATGGCAAGTGCGGAGAAGTATTGATTTTCATTTGATGTAAGGTCATCTTCTGAGTTTGGTGTTGAGGCACATTATTCAGTCAGATTTGAAGCAGTACAAGTTTTTGGTGCTTTATATAAACATTGATCCCCAAAATGAAACAGACTTTCATTCTCCACTGTCCATATTTAAACACAAAACTGTTAAATGCATATCTAATTTCTCTGCCACTGAAAGTTATGTACATATATGAAAAAATAATATATATATATATTTAATACCGTTATATTGCTCAAACTTCAGTTAGTGATTTACTGTTATGTGGAACAAACATGACAAACATTCAACACTCAGCAAGCTCCACAGTGTGAAGAATGATTTGTCAACCTATTTTTGGTTGTACTGACAGAGATGGAACATTGCATGTAATACTGGAGAATACTTTAGCATTTACTGTATAAAACCAAAGGATCTTTAGCTTCTACTGTTTTAATCTGACACTCCAGTAATGGTTTTCAATGTTGATTATGTGGAGCGGGGTTTAAATCAAAAAGCTAATGCATCACAGGTATAAGTGCTACAAAATCATGCTGGTATACTTTGAATAGAAGTTTATTCGATAGCAAACTGTGCATCAACAGATAGTGACAAGTGCAATTCAAAAATACATCACCAAGAATTTAACACTACCCCCCATGATAACATATCTTAATTTAAGCCCAAAAGCCAGTTGTCCTTTAAATATTTGAGATATTGACAGTAAAGGTCAATGAAATCTTTAAAAACTGAAAGAACTGCTGATGCTGTAAATCAGGAACAAAACAAAGTTGCTAGAAAAGCTCAGCAGGTCTGGCAGCATCTGTGAAGGAAAAAACAGTTAACATTTTGGGTCCAGTGACCCTTCCTCAGAACAATGAAATCTTTGTTGCATTTACAATGCCAAAATATTATTTGAAGTTTCCTAAGAGCTGCAGTTCCTCTAATATTCAGATAAGGATTATGATTACTATACCAATAAGTAATGATGCTTAGTATAATGCACCATGAATAGAGCAATATTGCCATATTTAAGATTCACAGATCTCATAGCTGTAATTTTTCTGCTTAAAACTAATTTTATTGTATGCTTCTGTATGTTTTATCTGTTGTAGAAAATAAGTCTTATCTGGACAATATCCAGTGATTAGCAGCTAATTTTGCAGTATGTTATTTTTTGAGTATTGGCCTTTCAGTTTATTTATATCATTATAAAAGCATCATCTGCAATGATAGGTTTCACTGGATACTGTTGTTTCCACAGTGTTCAATAATCATGATACTTAAGAAGCAAAGTATTCACAAAAGCAAAATATTCCAGATTTCCAGCATTTGCAGGAACAGAAACTTGCTGAAAAAGCCCAAACAGATAATAAAACAAAGAACTGTGAATGCTGGAAATCTGAAATAAAAACCGAAATAGAAATAACTGGCAAAACTCAGCAGGTCCGGCAGCATTTGAGGAAAGAAAACAGAGTTAACATTTATAAGTTCTGAAGATGGGACACCAGACATGAAACATTAACTCTGAAAATACCCAGCTTTGGCAGCATCTGGACAGAGGAAAACAAATGTAACAATTCAAATAAATGACCTCTTATTAGAATTCCTATTCTCTTTCTCTGCAGATGTTTCCTGGCAGAACTAATATGGTAAGCAAAAGAATCCACAAGGCAATATGGGATATCGCCTCCAAATGAACTGTTTACTGTTTCTCTCAAGTGTAACCTTTTTAAATGAATAACAAGACAAGGTTTTTGAACTGATCATAGAGCTTCTATTTGGCTCTGAAATCTTGGGCTCCAATCCTAAAATGTTAGTTGATTTCTGACTGTTGTATGAGAAACTATAGCTTTTAGACCAACTATAGAGCAGTCAATTTTAACAAGATCAACTTTCACATGAGCATGTATGGTATGTTTTTAAAGCCAGTGCGGGCATTGTTTCAATGGACAGCTATGTCAAAGGTAAAACAAACAATGGTTACAGTCAGAGTAACAACCATTTGTACCAATTGCAGCAGCATAAGGATTAATAAATGAAAACTGAAAGTACCTTCTGAGGAGCGTACATTGTTGGTACTGAATGGATAATGCAGAGAAAATTGACACTGCCTTGAAAAATAAGACTGCATAGCACAGGAATTTTAATCTTTTCTTTAAAAAACAAGATACTTCTTGGGAACTCTGTTCTCATCAAGATGATATTATCAATGCTGGGAGTTTCCAATATCAAACATCAGCACAAAGCAGTTCCAACTATTGCAAAGTTAGAAACGGAAACAGCTTCCCTGTAGTGTCCATACAGACCTAATCACCAACTTAGGAAAAGCATCCCAGGTTGTACCAGTGGAATACTTCAATTCCCAATGTCAGGTAACTTTTGGTTCAAATTATCAAGTATTGATTTGTACTGGGGGCTAATACCCAATTTGAACTGGACTCAGACTGCCAGCACAAAGAAAACTTCACTCTACTGGTCTGAGCAAGACATCAACCAAGGCCTTGGGTGCAAAAGACTTCTGTTTGATCTACCTTTTCAGAATTTTAATAATCTTTTATGTATAGAACAAAACATGTTAAATAAAGTATATCTCACACATAAAATGTGTCTGGTTTATTACACACAAAAACAAAATCATTCACCACTGTTTTTGGATGGCCTCAAGTCACCATTTTGTGTTAACTTATCTATGGTTACTTGATTGAATTTGGAAAAGTTGGAAAAGCATCCAACTTTGAATTATCTATCCATGAAATCATAATGTTCATTTTACCCCCCACCAATTCCAGTCAAGAATAAGCAACTGCTAATAATGAATCTAATGATTCGCTTCATTTTAAAATTTCTTCCCATGACCAAGTTGCTAAGGCTGCCAACTAACAAAGGCTGAAAAGATAAACACAAATACAAAGGGAGAGCCAGTGGCCTAGTGATAATGTAACTGGCATCTGGTGGAATTTAAAATCAATAAGTTTTAAATCTAAGGACAGTTTTAGTCATTGCTAAAAATGCGTCTGGTTCATTAGTATCTTGTAGGGAATGAAATCTTACCTGATCTAGCTTACACATGACCCCAGTTATCCAATATTTGACTCTTAACTGCTCTCTGAAATGATCTAGCAAGGCGGTCATTCAGGAAACTAGGAATGGGCAACAAATGCTCGTCCTACCAGCGTCATCCACATTCCATGAAAGAATAAAGATTGAAAAGAAGTTTTTTTTTAAAACCTCTAAATATACTGAAGTCATGTTCAAAATTCAAGTTTCTCTCTTTCCTATTCCGAAAGCCTAGCAGCGAGGCACCAGGATTTGGCTCCATAAATGGAGTCTGATTTCTTCCACTGGACTTTCATTCACTTTTTTGGTCAGTCTACATGCATGACTTTAGCATGCAACTACAAGTTACCATAGTTTTGTAGTGCATACTTGATCTAATTTGAAGTCCGATATGCAGCAAAACCACATTTCCTATGGCATAATGCAAATCACAGATGTGCACACAGATTGTTCATTCTTCCATCTGTTGGCACTAGTCGCTTCTGTTGCTGCTGTTCCACTGGGATAATAATTTGATTTGACTATTACTCATATTCATTGGAACAGTAGAATGGTGGTGGTGGCAACAATATGCAAAACTGACATACTTCTCAAAACCTCTGAGACTATTATTTAATTTGATGACCTGAGGATACAATTAGATCAAAATCTGTGGTGCAACCTAGGTGTCAGGCCATATTTGCTCTGTGGTTTTGTGTGGGGCTGCAATTAGAATTATCTTCCGTCAAAATATGAGTAAAAAAATGTATATTTTGGAAATGTGAAGAAAATCATTACTCGTCCCCATGAGAATGTTTCAGAAAAGAGTCTGGTTTGCTAGGATAAGACTTTATTTCAGATCTAATAATCTTGGCTTTATTTCTATTTTCTGCTCATAGAATGTCTCTTCCAAATCTACACTATAACTTTTATTAATTCTGAAGTTATAAGTTATAATAGGTATCCAGACTTTGTCTTATAAAGGATTGCAATAATTTTGAATATTAAAAATGTACTTAATAAGACTTTAATTTCTAAATCAAACTCAAGGCAAAGGGTAATTAATTACTCACTGTACTGCATTTTCTGTAAATGATGCAATACAGCTGTAGTTTCAAAACAGCTTAAACTCACAGTTTTGCCATGAACAAAACTGGAATTTGGCAAAAAACAAATCTCTATGGGCAATGAGCTTAGAGGAAATTCACAAACAGGCTGATGAACATGAAGTGTATGCATCAAGTCTCAGGAACATTTGGAATAATTCAGCCAGTATATGGAGGGTGCTGCATAAAAACCTTAACATCTCTGTATTCAAATCACTGATTTTTTTTTGAATCAGAGATAGTAGGAACTGCAGATGCTGGAGAATCCGAGACAACAAGGTGCAGGGCTGGATGAACACAGCAGGCCAAGCAGCATCATAGGAGCAGAGAGGCTGACGTTTCGGGCCTAGACCCTTATGCTTCCTAATGGACATAGGAAGAAAAGATCCCTGACAGGTGCAGAATAAGATAATCTGCTCCACCATAAAGACAATATTTATACTTTTAGCACATTAAGATATTAAAAGATACTACTAGCAGAAGAAACAAAGCAAAGAAAATTACTATATTGGTTTTTATATCTGCAAAATATAAATATATTAAGTTTGCACCACCATATACTTAATATGTTTTTGTCCCAGGATTTTTTTTCTTCAAGTCAACTTTGAGCACAAGTGAGCTGAATTTTACTTGTGCATATGACATGTTGCAGAAGTGTAATCAAGAATGATCAGTATTTGTTCAATACAAGGAAACAGCAGAATCTGTTTATCTTCAGAAAACATTTTCATTGCAGCAAGAGGTAATACTTTCTAATTTTAGTATGCAAAAGATCATATTTCCATAATTACAATAAACATCCAGCTGCTGCAGAGTTTCAGATAGGAAGTTCATTGCCATACATAGGAAAATATTTAAAGACACGCTGGTGTTATTTATTCCTGAGGCTTAATGAATGTCTTCTTGCATTTACCACCCCTGGTGCTAGCTTCTGTTTCTTCAGTTTGAATAGCTGATCGATCTCTCTTTTTAGTAAACTTCCTTTTTATGGTTCCCACTAAGCTTTCATATCTGGAAAAAACAAAATTTGATAATGCTTCACTGAATGCATACAGTTTGTCATGTTAACTGTTGCACATTATTCAATCAATATGTAAAATTAATGCTTCAAAGTAGTACTATCTTTTGACAAGACAGTTGATGGAAGGAAAGGTTAGGAAATGAAAGAAGAGTGCAATCAGTAACAGGAATGCACATTGAGTTGCGGGAGTTTGAATCATCAACAGCCAATAGTATTTCAGGAGACAGTCAAAGCAAAGAAAGGTGAGAAAGTCTCTCAGTGAAAAATGTAGGACAAGAGGGAAGATGATAAGATAAAATTAATATTTTAAAGAAGGGTGGATCAAGATGAAAATCTAAAAGTAGCCACAGGATGAGGGAGCAAGGTACACCTTGATAATAAAGGCTGCACAAAGGAACAGGCACAATAGATAATACAAAGTTTAGATGGATGGTAAAACTTTAGTAAAGAGCACGACGTTGCTACCTCTAAGCCATGTTTTCAAAGCATAAATAACAATGTGATCATCGCCAACAAAGCTGCAACTTGCAAGTGGCTGGTTGGTTAGTTCCTAAAAAGTGCATCAGACGAACTGGTCAGTAAGATAGGAGTACAGTGCAACAAAAACAGAAGTTGCTGGAAAAGATCAGTAGGTCTGGCAGGATCTGTGAAGAAAAATAATCCCAGTTCACGTTTCGGGTCTGGTGACCCTTCCTCAGGACTGATGGTAGCTGGGAAAAAATTGGTTTATATGTCGAAAATAGGGAGGGGGATCGGGTAGGGAGCAAACAATAGGATAGAGCCCAAAGAGAGAGAAGAGCATTTGAATAAATAAAGGAGTTGATAACGATCTGGCTGGGAGGGTGAATAGTTGTTAATGGAGACTGTTAGGGACTAATAATAGGTAGTCTGTAATGGCATGCTATGTGATAATAAGGCCTGGTGTGTGGGCAGGGGGCTACGGCATGGGAGAGTTTAGGCCCTAAAATTATTGAACTTGATATTGAGTCCGGAGGGCTGCAGGATCCCCGAGCGGAAATTGAGGTGTTGTTCTTGCAGCTTGCATTGAGCTTCACTGGAACACGGCAGCAAGCCAGAGACAGAGACGTTGGTCAGGGGACAGGGTGGTGTGTTAAAGTGGCAGGCAACAGGTAGCTCAAAGTTTTTTTTGCGAGCAGAATGTAGATGTTCTGCAAAGATGTCACCCAGTCTACGGTTCATTTTCCCAATGTAGAGGAGACCACATTGTTAGCAGCAAATGCAGTAGACTAGATTCCCGGAAGTGCAGGTGAAGTGTTGCTTCACCTGGAAGGTATGTTTGGGCCCGTGGATTGTGGGGAGAGAGGAGGTAAATGGGTAGGTGTTACACCTTTGCTGGTTGCAGGGGAAGGTGCTGTGGGGGGTTGTTGGGGATGAAGGAAGAGTGGACCAGGGTGTCCCGGAGGTAACGGTTCCTGCAGAAGGTGGACAAGGGAGGGGAGGACATCTTGTTGGAGGTGGCGGAAATGGCATTTGATGATCTTTTGGATGTGGATGCTGGTGGGATGGTAGATTAGGACAAGGGGAATCCTATCGCTGTTGCAGGAGGGGAGAGAAGGGATGAGGGTGAAAGATGAGGGAGCTGGGTCGGACCTGGTTGAGGGCCCTGTCGACAACAGTGCTGGCGAATCCTTGATTGAGGAGGTAGGTGGACATTTTGGAGGTTCCCTTGTCGAAGTTATCCTCATCTGAACATATGCGATGGAGACAGAGGAACTGAGAGAATGGGACGGAGTCTTTCCTCCCTGGAAAGACTCCGCCAGACACATATTCCCCTCCCCTCTCTTGTCCACCTTCCACAGGGATTGTTCCCGCCAGGACACCCTGGTCCACTCTTCCTTCACCCACAACACGTCCACCAATTGCCCCACTGCACCTTCCCCTGCAACTGGCAAAGGTGCAACACCTGTCCATTTATCTCCTCCCTTCCCACCATCCAATGGCCCAAACATACCTTCCAGATGAAGCAACACATCACCTGGTCTTCCCAGAATCTAGTCTACTGCATTCACTGCTCACAATGTAGTCTCCTATACATTGGGGAAACGAAGCATAGACTGGGTGACCACTTCACAGAACATCTATGTTCTGCTCGCAAAAAAGATCCTGAGCTACCTGTTGCCTGCCACTTTAACACATCAACCTGTTCCCTGGCCAACAACTTTGTCTCTGGCTTGCTGCAGTGTTCCAGGGAAGCTCAACGCAAGCTGAAGGAACAACACCTCATTTTCCGCTTGGGAAGCCTGCAGCTCTCCGGACTCAATATTGAGTTCAATAATTTTAGGGCCTAAACTCTCGCATGCCCTAGCCCCCTACCCCACACACCAGGCCTTGTTACCACATAGCCTGCCATTACACACCCCCTGTTGTTAGTCACTAACAGTCCCCATTAACCACTATTCACCCTCCCAGCCAGATCATTATCAACTCCTTTGTCTATCCAACTGCTCTTCTCTGTCTTCAGGCTCTATCCTATCGCTTACTCCCTCCCATCCCCCTCCCTATTTTCTACATACAAACCGACATTTTCCCAGCTACAGAGATAGTAAGAACTGCCGATGTTGGAGTCAGAGAATACACAGTGTGGAGCTGGAGGAACACAGCAGGCCAGGCAGCATCAGAGCAGCAGGAAAGCTCATGTTTCGGGTTGGAACACTTCTTCAGAAATCTTTTTTTCCCCAGCTACCATCAGTTCTGAGGAAGGGTCACCAGACCTGAAACATTAACTCTGATTTTTGTTCACAGATGCTGCCAGACCTGCTGAGCTTTTCCAGCAACTCCTGCTTTTCTTCCTGATTTACAGCATCTGCAGTTCTTTCAGTTTTTATTTTAGGAGTACAGTGTAGTTGGCTTGCCTAAAGAAAGAACTAAAAGGTCCTCTTTATAACACTAAGAGTGACAATGGTAGCTATGAACTTATTCAAGGAGGTCTAAATTATGAGATAGGTCACGATCAGAGAGGGAATGGAGTAATAACAGGCTGTTTTCAGGAACAGCTTAAGCAAAGAATTGGAGATGGGAGAAATAAAAGTTATGACTAAATTACAGGAAGGAAACAGAAAAGATGGGCAGCTAAAGAAAAAAAGATAGAATGGAATCAGATCTTAATTGGGAACCAAAATGTGCAATTATTCAACAGCGAAGGTTCAAATTGCAGAGGTGTTGTGATTATAAACAGGTCAGAAAGGAAAGCTTTGACTAAGTTAAGGTTGAGAACCAGTGATGAGTAGATTTATAGATTCAGTAAAATCAGCTTGAAAATCCTTGCACTTGGATGGCATTTGTCAGGATCGCAGGACATTCAAAGGAATGGAGTATTTTTGAAGTGTAGTCACCATTGTAATGTGAGAAGTAAACTAGGGCAGTAGCTTATACGAAGACTGGGGTAACACATATACCATATTAAATTTACAGTTTAACTAATCAAACTACTTAATGTAAGTTGTGACGTACAAGCTGACCTGATTAATAAAGCAAACACATTTTTTCCTCCCTAACATTCATATTTTTGCATTTACAAGGATGCTACCGGGATTGGAGGGTTTGAGTTATAGGGAGAGGCTGAATAGGTTTTGTTTTAAATACAATCCCCATTGTGTGGAAACAGGTAATACGGCCCAACAAGTCCACACCAACCACCGAAGAGCATCCAGACCCATCCCCCTACCCTATCCCTGTAACCCTGTATTTCCCATGGCTAAGGCACCTAACCTACACATCCCTAAACACTTTGGGTAATTTAGCATAGCTAATCCACTTAATTTGCACATCTTTGCGCCATGGGAGGAAACCAGAGCACCTGGCGGAACAGGGAGAACGTGCAAACTCCACATAGACAGTTGCCCGAGGCTGGAATTGAACCCAGGTCCCTGGTGCTGTGAGGCAGCAGTGCTAACCACTGATCCACCGTGCCGCCCCTTGCGGCTCTTTTCCCCTGGAGAGTCGGAGGCTTAGGGATGACCTTAGCGAGGTTTATAAAATCATGAGGGGCATGAATAAAGTGAATAGCTAAAGTCTTTGTCCCAGGGTAGGGGTGTTCAAAACTAGAGGGCGTAGGTTTAAGGTGGGAGGGGAAAGATTTAAAAGGGACCTGAGGGACAATCCTTTCACTCTGAGGGTGGTGCATGTAGTCGAGGAGAATACTGAGATACAGTCTATTAGACTAGACGGGATTGAGGTTCATAAGGAGGAGGTGTTAGCAATTCTGGAAGGTGTGAAAATAGATAAGTCCCCTGGGCCGGATGGGATTTATCCTAGGATTCTCTGGGAAGTGAGAGAGGAGATTGCAGAGCCTTTGGCTTTGATCTTTATGTCGTCATTGTCTTCAGGAATAGTGCCAGAAGACTGGAGACTAGCAAATGTTGTCCCCTTGTTCAAGAAGGGGAGTAGAGACAACCCTGGTAATTATAGACCAGTGAGCCTTACTTCGGTTGTGGGTAAAGTGTTGGAAAGGATTACAAGAGATAGGATTTATAATCATCTAGAAAGGAATAATTTGATTAGGGATAGTCAACACGGTTTTGTGAAGGGTAGGTCGTGCCTCACAAACATTATTGAGTTCTTCGAGAAGGTGACCAAACAGGTGGATGAGGGTAAAGCAGTTGATGTGGTGTATATGGATTTCAGTAAAGCGTTTGATAAGGTTCCCCACGGTAGGCTATTGTAGGAAATACGGAGGCATGGGATTGAGGGTGATTTAGTGGTTTGGATCAGAAATTGGCTAGCTCTAAGAAGACAGAGGGTGGTGGTTGATGAGAAATGTTCATCCTGGAGTTCAGTTACTAGTGGTGTACCTCAAGGATCTGTTTTGGGGCCACTGCTGTTTGTCATTTTTATAAATGACCTGGATGAGGGCGTAGAAGGATGGGTTAGTAAATTTGCGGATGACACCAAAGTCGGTGGAGTTGTGGATAGTGCAGAAGGATGTTGTAGGTTACAGAGGGACATAAGCTGCAGAGCTGGGCTGAGAGGTGGCAAATGGAGTTTAATGCGGATAAGTGTGAGGTGATTCACTTTGGAAGGAGTAACAGGAATACAGAGTACTGGGCTAATGGTAAGATTCTTGGTAGTGTGGATGAGCAGAGAGATCTCGGTGTCCATGTGAAATTTGCCACCCAGGTTGATAGGGTTGTTAAGAAGGCGTACGGTGTGTTAGGTTTTATTGGTAGAGGGATTGAGTTTCGGAGCCATGAGGTCATGTTGCAGCTGTACAAAACTCTGGTGCGGCCGCACTTGGAGTATTGCATACAGTTCTGGTCACCGCATTATAGGAAGGATGTGGAAGCATTGGAAAGGGTGCAGGGGAGATTTATCAGGATGTTGCCTGGTATGGAGGGAAGGTCTTATGAGGAAAGGCTGAGGGACTTGAGGCTGTTTTCGTTAGAGAGAAGAAGGTTAAGAGGTGACTTAATAGAGACATACAAGATGATCAGAGGATTAGATAGGGTGGACAGCGAGAGCCTTTTTCCTCGGATGGTGATGGCTAGCACGAGGGGACATAGCTTTAAATTGAGGGGTGATAGATATAAGACAGATGTCAGAGGTAGGTTCTTTACTCAGAGAGTAGTAAGGGCGTGGAATGCCCTGCCTGCAAAAATAGTAGACTCGCCCACTTTAAGGGCATTTAAATGGTCATTGGATAAACATATGGATGATAATGGAATAGTTTAGGTTAGATGGGCTTCAGATTGGTTTCACAGGTCGGCGCAACATCGAGGGCCGAAGGGCCTGTACTGCGCTGTAATGTTCTATGTTCTATGTATAGAATGAGCTGGCAGAGATGGTGGAGGATGTGGGTACAATTACAACATTTAAAAGGCATGTGGATGGGTACACGAATAGAAAGGGTTTAGAGGGATATGGACCAAACACTGGCAAATGGGACTAGATCGGTTTAGGATATCTGGTTGGCATGGACGAGTTGGACCCGAACGGTTGGTTTCCATGGTTTTCATAACTCTTTGACTCTATATACTTGGTACAGAAATCAGCCCCATTTTCAGCCACAACATTATACTTGAACTGGTTGTTAGCCTCAATTTCCCACCCTCCTTTATGCCTTATAACTGGACAAGGGATCGAGCAATATAAGCATGTGTTGTGAAGATGCAGAACAAAGGAAGGGTCACCGGACCCGAAATGTTAACTCTGATTTTTTTTTCTTCACAGATGTTGCCAGACCAGCTCAGCTTTTCCAGCAACACTTATTTTTGTTCCTGATTTACAGCATCCACAGTTCTTTCAGTTTCAGAGATCACAGGAAGCAAGCAGAAAGCTAAAATCATTTAGCAGAAAGTGTAAACTTCAGAAAAATACCATAGCCAGCAGTGAAATGGAGTTTGGTCTGGGTTAAGGCAAATTTCTCTTCAACAACCAACACAGCAGCAATAGCTAAGAAATCAGCATGATATGGCTTGCTTCAGCAAAACGGAAACAGATGCAATATATTTGTTTCATAAAATTATGAAAAAAAATTAGCACCACAGATAATGAAACTTTCACACTTGTACAATAACCATTTGTTGCTATATATCATACATTTTCAGACAAACTTCTGAAACTCAGATGAGTCTTTAAGTAAATGAGTTATCAAACAGCTGTCTTACAGCAATAAAGACTATTGGACAGGCAGCTATTATTCTTTCGATATTTCACAGCATTGTCGTACTCATGGATTTCAAAACCTCACAAGTACAACAAAAATATTCTAATGAAGGTTAAGGCATTTATTAACAACTATATTGTATTTATGACTCAATTATTATCTGCAATATGATTAACATTCTAAGATAGTTATTCTATCAATAAGTACAGTACAGTGATATTTTGTGCCACTAGAGACATCTGAAGATAGTAGTGGAATGTGATACCATTACAGTGCTCTATTACCTAAACTTTTTTAAAAAATCTTTTGTCTTTAATAGTTTTGATTGTGTGTAAAACTGTTCAAGCATCATGGAGAAATGACTGACACAGTAATAGTCAATCTGTTCCTCATGATTTTTTTTTAAACAGATAGAGTCAGGAATCTCTGAGATGCTGAATTCAAAGTGTTTGTTGGTCAGAATCGATAATGATGGGCTGAAGGGCCTGTTCCCGTGCTGTATTACTCATCTCACAGCATCCAACTATTTTCTACTCAGGTACTGTTTAATATCAGAATGGTTGAATCAACAAATCTATTCATGCTAATCTCTTTCTTGAAATTGAGGTCACTTATTCTAGTTATATTTTGATGATTCACTAATCCTGTTCTGTTTAAACTCCAGCATTATTTTCATGGTTTATGATTATCATAAAAAAAGGCCCCTTTTAAAATGATATACTGCAACACCTCAGAAGCTGCTGCAATCATAACATTCAGAATTTACCTTAAAATATGCACTGCGTTTTAACTTCAATCTATTAAATGTCTGTTATATTCTGAGTCAAATAGATAAATTCAGTTAATATGTAGAACCGCATTCCTTGGAGATAGAACAGCTTACCTCCTAGCCATTTCTACATCGGAAACATCTACCTCCATCTTAACATCTTCATCAGGCTCTTCATTTTCATTCTGGGAATACATCTGTGCAACCAGTTTCTGGAATAAATGCAGCGTTTATCTATTAACTTTACAACATGGATATTGTGGCATAATGCTGAATGTGATGACATTAGATTGTTTTAAAAATAGTTCATAAATTTCTGCTATGATTCACTTTCCAAATTTAAAGCCAAAGTGAGACACTTGGCTATTAAATTTCTAATTTTCTGGTATATTCAAGGCATTAAAATTAATAAGATTTAAAAAAATTGATGTTAGGGGAATGCGCAATACTGATAATGCACTGTAAATAATCAAGATTGCCCAAATTCATATTGATTGCTATTATAGAGTGGTTTGCTCAGTCTCTTCAGATGGAATTAACAATAATCTACAAAAACTGAAGTCATGTTGACCAGGTGAGGCATCCTGGAAAACACTAGTGAACCAGCTGTGTTTGTAAAATGAACAGCAGCTGGATCACACATTATTAAGTTTATTGAATTCAGTCTCAGCTTCAAAAGTGGCAACGTTAGGACCTGAATACCTGACCTTGGTGTTCAGTTGAGTATCTCTGCAGTATGGCTTCTGGTTATATTGGCTTCTACATGTTATCACAGCGACAAATCTATTTTTGTTACTTAATATAAAAGTCCAGCTTTATAAATAAGTACAATATTAATCAAAAAAGAATGTTTGGCACAAAATTTGCATTTAAGACTTTCCTTTTCATTGAAAAGATGCCCTTGTTAATATCTCCCTTTTCCAGTATTTTACTGTCTGAAACTCCCATGTCTTCTTCAAATTCCTCACTGCATAAATCATATTCCCCCTTTTCAGCAAGTGATCCACAGTGATTTCAACTTGCAGCAAAATCACCTGTGTTTGATTTCACAGATTTTAACCTTAGAACACAAGAAAATAAGAAATAGGAGCAGGAGTAAGCCATCTGGCCCATTGAGCCTGCTCCACCATTCAATAAGATCATGGCTGATCTTTTTGTGGACTCAGCTCCACTTACCCACCCACCCACTCTCCATAACCCTTAATTCCTTTACTGTTCAAAAATCTATCTTTGCCTTAAAAACATTCAATGAGGTAGTCTCAACTGCATCACTGGGCACGGAATTGCACAGATTTACAACTCGTTGGATGATGAAGTTCCTCCTCAACTCAGTCTTTGCTCCTCTTATTTTGAGGCTATGCCTCCGAGTTCTATATCTATCCCCTTCATAATTGTATATGTTTCCAGAAGACTCCTCCCTCATGCTACTAAATTCCAATGAGTATAGTCCCAGTTTACTCAATCTCTCCTCATAAGCCAACCCTCTCAAATCTGGAATCAACCTAGTGAACCTCCTCCAGGGCCAGTACATCCTTTCTCAAGAAAGGAGACCATGCACGACAACTTCTTCAGACTGCCTCAAGTCTTGCCATTATGCATCAGCTTCAAACCACTGCTACTGACAAGATTCTCTTCAATACCCCCTCACCATTCATTTTTCTTCTCTTAACCTACCAAACAGACCAGCTGCTGGCAAAAACATACAACACTTCCAATTTCTTAGCTATACATGTGTTCACTCACAAATGAAGTAGGTCTCTTGGTTAGCACAGGAGACCATGCAGACCATCATAAGTGTACTGATTCTTTGAATGAGTTAATTAGTCTAAATGTCCTGTCCTCACCCCATAACCATCCAACTTACCATTAAATGTATATCCATATTACTTTCAAGTTGTTATCATGGATTCAGCTTAGAACATCATTGCAGTTGCCCATTCTGCGTCCTAATGTTTTTGTTAAAAGAAAGTGTCCTTTCATCTCCTTTGCAGCAATGATTATGTATTTATGCTCTAATTGCTGTTTCATTAGCAAATGGGGAAATACTTGTTTTACTAATTAACCTAATCAAATTCATCATAATTTCAAACACCACTTTCAGGTTCTTAACCTATTTTGTCTCTTCACACAAATATAGCCTTTGACTTCATTGCAATGTGTCTCTAGTGTTACTCTCTAGTCCTAGGTTGTTTTAAAATAAGACACTCAAAACAATGTTATAACTGCATCCTAATCAATAAGTTTCATAGCCCATGTTCTAAAACACTCCATTTAATAGTTTTGTAGGTTTAGCATGGCATAAACATTACCCTTTGACGCCCTGTCCCCAAGAAATCACTCGTCATCTTCTAAGTTCACTGTGTTCCCTGCCTAACTCATCTTAGGTATGGTCTGACCATCTCATGCAGTCATTTTCTGCATCCCTGCAACCAACTTGTCTCACTATTCCTAATCATCCCAAAGCAATAGCGAATTATACACAGTACTGAAAATATTTGTGCATAAAATAGTGTTGCACTTGCCGATTTTAATTGTCTAATCTATTCTACACAAAGGGTGTGAATGTTTCCAGATACAATGGTTCTAACAGGATTCATGAATCACCCTTCTCTAAGCAGTGCACGCCAGTTCTATCTGAACAATTTGATGTAGCAGGATAAAGAATTTAAAATGTTGACTTAAAAAAGTTCAAACACTCGATGCAGCACCTGTAAAGAAAAATCAGCGTTAATGTTTCGGGTCCGATGACCCTTCCACAGAACAGCCTTGTCTGTTTAATAGCAATTCCCAAGTTAACTTAATAACATTAAAACATGTAATTTGTAGTTCAATGTATTCAGCTAAAAAAAAAGTGCTGATAAATTCCTTCATCAAAAGGCCAATGGAGATCAAGGCATAAAATTAGATTTCATATAAAAACATACCTCTATTTCTGGATTAAAACCTTTAAAAGACATTCGGCCAAACAACATTTCTTCACAAGGCACAAAGCTTTTTTCTTCAATAATGTGACTCCTGAAACACATTACCAATACAGCTGAATTAGCTATTAAAGAAAATATTTGAGAGTTTGGAAAATTAAACACCAGAATTACTTAATGGACAGAAGTCGAAGGTACAAAAACAAAGTTGCTGGAAAAGCCCAGCAGGTCTGGCAGCATCTGTGAAGGAGAAAACAGAGTTAACATTTCGGGTCCGATGACCCTTCCTCAGAACTGATAGTGGCTGGAAAAAGTCAGTTCATATGCAGAAAATAGGAAGGTGAGTGGGGTAGGGAGTAAACGATAGGATAGAGCCCAAAGAGGGAGAAAGACAGTTGGACAGACAAAGGAGTTGCTAACGATCAAGCTGGGAGGGTCAGAAGTTGTTAATGGGGACTGTTAGTGACTAACAACAGGGGGTGTGTAATGGCGGCTATGTGGTAACAAGGCCTGGTGTGTGGGGTGGGGGGCTGGGACATGGGAGAGTTTAGGCCCTAAAATTATTGAACTCAATATTGAGTCCGGAGAGCTGTAGGGCCCCCAAGCGGAAAACGAGGTGTTGTTCCTCCAGCTTGCGCTGGGATTCACTGGAAAACTGTAGCAAGCCTGAGACAAAGATGTTGGCCAGGGAGTAGGGTGGTGCATTGAAGTGGCAGGCAACAGGTAGCTCAGGGTCTTTTTTGCGAGCAGAATGTAGATGTTCTGCGAAGCGGTCGCCAAGTCTATGCTTCGTTTCCCCAGTGTAGAGCAGACCACATTGTGAGCAGCGAATGCAGTAGACTAGATTCTTAGCCGAACTCGTCCTCACACTCAACAACTTCTCTTTCAATTCCTCCCACTTCCTACAGACAAAGGGGGTAGCCATGGGTACCCGCCTGCCTCTTTGTAGGTTACGTGGAACAATCCCTCTTCCGTACCTACACCGGCCCTAAACCCCACCTCTTCCTCCGTTACATTGATGACTGTATCGGTGCCGCCTCGTGCTCCCACGAGGAGCTCGAACAGTTCATACACTTCACTAACACCTTCCACCCCAACCTTAAATTTACCTGGTCCATCTCTAACACCTCTCTCCCCTTCCTGGACCTCTCTGTCTCCATATCGGGCA